CTTATTTATTTAGGCTTTTTCTCTGAGAGTTGGTCATGAAAGGTTGTTTTTTTCTCATTTTTATTTCCTTTTTATTACTAATTTTAGCTGATAAATTTAGAAAATTTAAATATTTTTATAAAATCTTAAATTTTAATCTCACAATGCAGTTAAGAAAAAGCCTGAAAAGGCAATGCGTTTCACTGGGATTATTGTTCAGGCTGAAGAACAGTTTCGAACCCGTTTCATCGTCTTACCACTGCAACAAGCAGGATTCAACTAGTCGAAATGCGTGTTAATAGACAAAAGTTTACTCCTCAGTATTGCTGGATTTTTCATTTTATTGGAAATTGAATGAATTGGCCTCACCAGAGATGGAAGGAGGATTTTCTCGGAGTGGGAACATTAGGATGCTTTCTGATGCTTATCATGTGACAAGCATGGTCAGAACGGGAAATCATCATTTACGAAAGGCACAACTAAGACACTAAGCGAAGAAAAGGGTGTATTAGAGGGATTTGATCTTGTGTTGACAACTTGGTCATGCTGTCATGGCAGCCCAGATGAACGCATCTTGTCCGAAATCCTCTGTCATAGTAGTCATGATAATTTTGATTTAGGACATTTTTAGAAGTTTCGCCGGCATCAAAGTTGTAATCTTCAGAGGATTTCGGATAACGTGTGTTCATCTACGTCGCCCTGGCAACATGACGAAGTTGCAAAAAAGAGTTCAAACCAGTTCTATACACACTTTTATTGTCTTATTGTATTTGATGTGTCTTTCGAAAATAATGGTTTTTCGTTTAGACAAAATTTGAGCACAGATCAATTGGAGTAATAGAATGACGAAGCAATGACTTCTTCAGACAAAGTCCTCCTTTGGTTTCCAGCTTATGATCCAGCAATTCTGACGCATGTTTTGTCATGCGGTATATTGTAGCGTACAAAGGCAGTGAGTTTGTTATTCGACTGATGGCGCCTATGCTCTGTTCAATCATCCAGTGATCCTTTCTGCTGCCCATCACGATCCCATGTTGACTTGAGCATCTTACTGTGAGGCTACGATTTGTGTGGATGTCAATGGATACTTTTGTATGAAATCGTTTTTTGATGCTCCTAATGTCCACTTCACTTTCATTCTTGGCATGTGGGTAGTTAGACGTCTTGGATGTTCTTTGGGATAACAATTTACTCGCTTACTCCACCCAAATTTTGCTTCAGAAGAGTTTTTACAGTCAACAAAAAGCTATGCTAATGCCTACAGACTGACCCATTGTGAGGGCGAGGTCTTGGTGTTGTGCTCCGGGTAGTGGCGATCCCAGACTTTTGAGCCAGATGTGCTTGTACACGTTTGTGAATAGCTATGTTCACGTAATGATTGTTGACGCAATCGCGTATACCCTTCGTTGCCAGCCGACAAGACGACGAGCCCATCGTTTGCGGCACTATGGCCAGGCCAATGGTGTGATTTGAGCTGAAGTTGTTCGAGAATGAAGTGGGCATTTCAAATCACTTAAATCGCGTAGTCATGTAGGGGGAATTTGAGACCACTTCATTTAAACGAATATAATTGCGTTTTTCACCAACCAGCCCTGCGGCCAAAACAAATAGTTAGCACAGACAAGTCGGCCGAGCGAGGGTACAGAGAGGCGTTAGTAAAGCGGAGAGTTAACAAGGTCTTCTAGCCGGCCGAGGCGAGGCGAACAGGAGGGAAGATGCGTAGACAAAAGGGTGAAGGGAGGTTGAGAGAGTTGATTGAATTTCTGGTCTCAAGGCAGTACAGATAACATCAACTATTTGATGCTGACGTGGATTCCTTCCCAATTTGTCTCAATGAAGATGGTTTGTAAGTGTGTAGACTTGAGTGACTGTATCCTCGGTTCAGTGTACCACGGCTCCGATGGTGTGCCGAGGACGAGATGCCGCGATTCTGCCCTCACAAACCTCCTTCGACTTCGGAGGCTGCCTCTTCAGACGAAACCAAAGATTGGTCAACATCAATCTGTCAAAGGGATTCGTTGAAATTCACCTCATCTTCATGTCTCACAACCCTGTGACGTTTACCACAAACCTAACCGTTGAGGTGTTGCCCTCTGGTCTGGAATTCCTTCTGGCATGGCCAAGCATGCGAAACGTAGACTCAATTATTATGAGCAAATAACAACATAAAAACAGCCTCGGCTAACAGAGCAATCGACAATAAGAGAAAAGAAGTAAACTAATAACCTCAAGCAAATAGAGAGATATGTAAAGTTGAATCTATGTACGACTTCCCGAAACAGCTTTGGCTGCCAAAGCGTCACGCTTTCAAGCAGACCAAGCTTCTTCCGAGTATACGTTAACAAGTTTCATCATTATTCTCGTGGTTAAAGAGTGTTAACTAATCACTATATTCTTCCTATTTCGGTTCAAGTGATGAAGGATTGGTAGATGAATTTTCCTAAAAGCACGTGAAAAGGCTCTACGCTTCCTTTGAATTTCACATTGCCTTGCTTCTCAAAAGGTCTCCTCATCCAGGGTGAATATCTTTTGTGAATGTGAACTTCAATGAAAACGTGAATTGTGGGAAAATTCAACTAACACTCCTTCATCACTTTAAATGAAACAGAGTGAATACAGACTTTATATCAAATCTACTGAAAGTCTCAGGAACCTCTTTACAAACGAAATAAAGGGTAGTCTAATTTCAGAGTGTACTTTTTTTTACTTACAGAGGCGCTGTGATTAAATTAAGAAATGCTAACAGACAGATTTTGAGGCTTCTCGACGGCCAGTACCTTAAACATCTTTGGCTGCGAAAACGCTGGGTGACAAATATGGATAAGAGATTGTTAATATAGAAGAAGGAAGCAACAAAGGGCAACATTTTAGCGGGTTTGAGATTACCACGCAATCTCGAGCATCTATACATGATGTCAGATACGGCCTAGTTGCTGCCATCTGAGCCACAGCGAGGCGCGGCAATAGTCTGGGCCGTCACCTCCACACTTTGGAAATAATAGTTAATCACCATTAGCAATTTATTGATCAGACCCTGGCTACTTACGGTCTCTCATAATAGCCATTTTTAGGTGTGATTCACCAAATTTTTTCACTCTTTCCTCCTTCAGATAAAATGGCATTTTCAGCACATATTGTTGGTGGGCTGCAAATGAACTGACGAGTGGATCTGAAATGTATCGCGTTGGTATAGGGAGTTAAGTGGTTAATAGTATCATAAAGCGAATACTTTTCACTTAGCATCATAAGCTCATTCTCATCTAACCAGTATTTTATATTTAGTATTAGAATAAATGGACAAACCCATTTTGGTGGCCGACTAATTTAGGAGATTTCATGGTGAGTGAAGGAGAATAAATTACTATTTTAGATTGGCGATTTAAGTCCTGCTAGGCCACTTAGAAGAATGATAGCGAAATTTTCCACAGCCAAAGAGGTGGTTTTACAAGGCCTTGCCTTTCAAAGAATTTTCTCATTCAGGCTGGATCGGATTTTTCTTCCAAGGTCTAGTCTCACCAGCATCAAATGGGAGTCGAAGCCGGGTCTTGTTTATCCTGGAGACACACTATCATACCACCACACACTCACGGGGACGACGTAACCTTCCTATTTTTCGAATACAAGAGTTCTTCTTGAATTACAATTTTATCCGCCGTTGGTCGCTTAAGGGTCGCAACTACAGTCCAACTCAGATTAATAGAGCATTTGGGGGCAATGCAAAATGCGATTCACTGACAGTATGAAGCCTATTCGATTCATCGGGAGAAATGTCGCAATCAATCTGACTAAAGTTCTTCAAAATCCAGTTTTTCTACATACCAAAAGCTTTGATGTTATAATAATTTTTATTTCTATGAGATGTATTTCCCCTATTTTGTTCAATGTGATAAGGGGTCTGGTAGTTGAACTTTCACACAATTATATGATTAGACCTTATGTTTCTATTGAATTCCATGTAGTCCTGCTTTCCCCAAGAGTATTTTCATCCGGACAAGATTAGACTTGGGTCACAGGGCAAATGTGAGTTTTAAGAAAGGTCAGGCATTTGCCCTATTCGTCCATTTCACATATCCCAAATTCTGTGGTGGGATTGCCAATGAAGCATTTGTCTACATTAATTGTTTTTCTCAAAAACCTACTCATAAAAAGAAAAATATTTTTCAGTTAATTTGAAGAGGTGATTTAAAAGAGTTCTATTCTTTTTAAGTGGGGTGGGAATACTTGAGGTAAAACTAGGGTTTAAATATAAAAAGTAACCTCGAATTCATCTGAATATGAGCACACCCAAGTTTTGGGCCCACTACATGTCATTATAACGAATGAGACTTGTCAAACTACCAAAAGGACTCTTTACTTTCCGTAACCTTCAAATTCTAGTCAAAATTACTCACTAAAGACTGCTGCTGACTGTCGTTGACAAATTTTATTTATTTTCATTTATACCGGTTTAGACTTGTCTTTTGTTGAGCAGATATAAAATCTGTCCATGATGTAGTAAAGACAAATATTTATTTTTGCAAAAAAATCTGTTCTCATCCAGCCTATACTTTACTTTCAGCCTCGTCCTATCGTCTAAAAGATACCCTAGGCGGGATTCGAACCATAGGCGTATAGGTTGAGAGGTAAACGCGTTTCATCCTTAGCGGCATGATTCAAGCTTCCACTGTTCACACGACACATGACTTCTAGGACAAAGCAAGTCATTTAGTAATCACTTACCGATAAGTAATAGTGGCAGTTCTAGTAAACACACTACACTATTGATTCATGTGGCTAGTAGCATCTTTTCCCTTGTAGATATCAGGAAGTTTGTTGCTGTCGAGGTACATCAGTTTTGACTGTCCTCTTATTGTATTGAAGGCAACGTTGCAAGAAGGTAGTAGTAAATTGTATAAAGATGGGGTTTTGAATAAAATTCTTTTCCTTATTGTTGTTGAGCCCTTGCTTGTAAGAATGATGGTCAGACTTTGCATTGTAAAATATGTTGTCCTTTTAGATCATTCGGCAAAACCAAAAAGGCAATCTGAAAATGATGTGTCTACATTGTCCAGTAATCCCTCTTTCCTTGAGCTCTACACAGAGGACTTACAAGCATTAGTGGATAAATGTATGATCTCTTTTACCGATAGGATATTTTTCTATATACATCTCGCGTGGTATGTTGCTGACAGCTCCGATAGCCTGGCAATCCACGAGTAATCATGGCGAAGGAGCGATTTTGCGGTTAAACCTTATTGATAGTTGGCAAGTTATATACTTCATGTATTGAGCTCTATTTTGTGGTATACTTTAAGCCTGATATTTTTGTACTGATGTGACTCGGGTGTTAAGCCAGGCTCTTTGCTGGAGCTCACCCTAGCTTCTATACTGACGGTCATGAACATAATTTCGGCTTTACTTTCCATTCCTTTCCATTTTGATGAGCTCAACTAATGTAGGAACTTATTTGCCTATCGATAATCATATACTTCCTAGCCCTAATTACCAATTGTTAAAATTTATGTATTCAGTTATTTATTTACTGCAATCAATATGTAAACAATAAGTTAATTTTGTAAACAATTATAGTTAATTAATTGATTGAATAATTAAAATCAGTCGCTTCTTGCTCTAGTTGCAAATTCTTAAAACTCATTCCTTTTAGCTATTAAGTATTAAAGAGCCATTTATTAACTTTATAAAAGCGCCATCTTCTCAACAGCATTGTGGATGCTGCATAATCTTCATCTCCTTACACAGAATCAAAAATGTGAATTCAATGGTGCACAGGGCGGCCAGCTTTTTCCTTAAAACCAGATCATGGATCCGAATAATAAGTGAGATGCTATTAGAACATGTATTTTGGGCCAAACAAAGGTAGCTAAAAATTGAATAGCATACTCAATAAATATATTTGAGATAAGTACAGACATTCTCAACACCAGTAATTAATCTCCTACATTATATCAATTGCTTTCGGGTTGATTCAATCATTTTCCGTCATAAACAGTAAAGAGCGCCAGCACGTAGGCACATTAGAAAAGGCTTGAGTAAGGCTGATAATTCAATCTTGAGGCTTCAGGAAAATTTTTTCCAATAAGATAAACAGAAGCAGGCAAATAATTCATCACAATAGAGCACCTAGATGTGATTCAACCCAAAATATCTATAATATAATGAATATATGTTACTACTACTCTAATGACACCAGTAGTGTGATTTATAAGTGCAATAATGTCCAAAGATCAATAATCTCAATATAAATCGTGAAAAAGTCTCTTAACTTCAAATAGGAGTCATATTTTCTCTCTAATTCTCTTGATCCAGGCCAGGATCCCATTTTCGACGCTGACGGGACCCTGACGGAGTTGCAACAATAACGAACTTTTGATGAGAAGCAATCTACCGTGACCTCCTCTAGTGTAAACCGATTTATTGTTGCCAACACAATTATCGGGTGACAAAAGACCAGACAATCTAGATTTCCATGGTCTTGTAGTTCCCTAATCCATCAGTCTCCACAA